TTATTTCAGAGGATTGGTGGCAAAGTGAACAGGAGGTGTCTGGGACGCGGAATCTTGTAGCCATTATATTTCTAGTTGGCAAGGAATCAGAGGCTAGTTGCCACATTGTAACTTTGTGCCTCTCATGGATTGACGAAGTTTCTTCAGTCTGCTTGTGCTAGACGGTGACTGGATTCATCGAGTTGCTGTCTCAATGTGCTAAAAGCAGAGCTAATCTCAAAGGTTCCAGTTTTTGATGGGATCCAAGCGATGTGATCAGGAACTGGGAAGGTGGGGATTTTGATTCTGGTTATGTCTTGGACTGTTTGTGGTGAGAAAAGTGTGGATAGAAGTTTCCTATCCCATGTGTTAGGGGATTGGTCAATCAGCTCAGCAACAAGGTTTGGGATGTCTTCAGCCTCAGGTTGCAGTTCCAGTTGTGGTCTGAATGAAGGAGTATAGGGAATTCATGGTTCTGTCCATATGTTGATTGAGTGGCCATCTCCCACAATGTAGCATGCCCCTTTTTCTATTATATGCCTGCTTCCAAATTGGTGAATCTCCTTGATGGTGTTCAACATAGAAGAATGAGCTCCTTGGACAGTACTTCTTACTGAATTGAGCAGTCCACATTTTATCTTTGTGCGCCAGCAGCTGCCATCCCAATTTAGCCATCAAGGCCATGTTAATATCACGCATCTTGAAGCCCAACCCTCCTACTAATTTTGGCCTACACATATTATCCCATGATGTAGTTACCATAGTTTTATGACTGTCAGTGTGTCCCCGCCAGAATTGTCTTATCTTGCTATCAATTTTTCATTTAGGAGATGCGCTTTTAGTAAATTAGTGCCGTCCATTCATCTCTTAAAATGCCTTGTCTGACACCTTTAGTTTGTTCACTGACTTTGGTGATTGAGGACATTATTTTGTGCGTTGCTATAAATGCTTTTAACTGAGTCTTTGCTGGGTATTGAACAGATGAAGATGCCCCAGATGCAACAGTCTTCTCAACAACAGGACCAGCTGCAGCAGCAGCAACTGCTACAGGTCGTGTGTGATTGTAAAGATATAGCCATAGGATCTCTTCTGATGAACTGAATCATTAATTTATTTTGTAGAAATATGCTATTCCAACAATAATTCCATTTCTGCTGCCTTAATAAGCATTTGCAATTAGAACAACTTGTGCAATTGTTTTATTTTTTCATCACTTCTGTTCTTTGTTCTTTTAGAATATAAATTAGTTACTTCTCAAGTGGCTTCTTGTTTTATACAGGACAACAGAAAAAGAAAACATTCTTCTTCCGGAGCTGCCAATAGTACAGGTACGGGAAATACTATGGGGCCGTCCCCCAACTCTCCACCATCAACTCACACACCTGGTGATGGAATACCTACTTCTAGCAGCATGCAGCACGCAAACAGTGTGCCTAAGAGCTTGATGTATGGTGCAGAGGGAACAGGTGGTCTCGTATCATCTACGAATCATCTGGTACACCCATTTAAGTTTTCATGCGCAGAATTTACTCATTCAGTTTCTAGAACCTGTGCTTCAGCTTTGCCAATATAGTATTTGTACATCTCAGATCTCCGTGTGATATTTTGACCTGTTAATGTACTGTCTTGAACAGAGTTAATTCGGTAAAAATAGCTTCATTTTGAAATCAAAATTTGAATGTAAGAATTTTGGTTTTTAGCTATCAGATCTGTATTGGTGAACCTTCTCATCAATATGTAAATTTACGAGAAAAAATGATGTGAAACATTACTATGGTTTTCAAACCTTGTTTCTTGATGCAGGACGACATCGAACATTTTTGCAGATGTTGAATCATTTCTATCTCATGATGGAGGAGACGGGAGGGATTTATATGATGGCACAGTAAAGCAAGCTCTTACTGAGCAGAAAACAGAATCTTCGAAGGGTAATATATTGTGTGTATTTTATCCGCTATTTTGATAGATGATGTTCTATTTTTCTCATGCCCAAAATGCTCTATTTTCAGGTTTTTCCTTTGGGGAAGTTGGTTGTATACGTACAAGAAATAAAGTTACTTCGTGTCATTTTTCTTCTGATGGGAAGTTGCTAGCTTGTGCTGGGCATGACAAGAAGGTATAATGCATAATCCATCATAAGGCTTCATGTCCTGTCACGAGTGCAGTCTGGTAACATTGTGTTTCATTTATACTGATTCGTGACATAACTTGAAGATTTTTGCTGTCACAAAGGACTTTCTTCTTAAAGATCTTTTAATATTTCTGGCTTATGTGCATTGGCACATGCTTGTCTATTGTCTTCTAACCTTTGATAGTCGTGTCATTCTAGTCTGCTTCTTTGTCAAAAGCTGTATCAATCCGTCACTTCTATATGGACCATTTTAGTCTAGTACCCCTAAGTAACCCTACACTGTTTAGTGGGGAAAAAAAGAGGCTATGGACTTGGCCGCCAGCCTTGACTTGATCAAGTTGAATGCAGCTAATGAGACTTTTCTCAGGTGAATAATCCCAGTTAAGTTCAATAATTTTCAAACCATTCTTTTGGGTTTTGTTCAAACAATAGACATATCTTCAATCCTATTGAATTTTTTTTATCTGAATTTGACTAATGCTCCACTATAATTGATCTTCTTCCTTGATTTAAAATATCGTATATCAGTTATACGGACGACATTGACATGCATCGGTCGCGACATTAATTAATATCGTGTAATATACATGAAAGCAAGGTAGAAGAAAAGGTTGAGCATGCAAACAAATTTCGACCAATTCTAAGACGATGACTCAGTCGAGACACTTGAGACTCATGATTTACATGGGATATGGAATGAGATGGAAACGGAAGGTACTTTTGTGAAATGAGATTTGAAATACAGAAAGTGTTTTCGTTGAATTCTATTTTTCACACTTGATATTTCATGCTAAATAAAACTCAGTAAAAAAGTGTTGTGGGTTAAAAAATTAAAAAAGTCAGAGATGATTACGTCAATAAGGGTCATTAGAATTCTAAAAATATTAGTCGTGTTATTCTTACCCTCTATTATCACTATTATTATTATTTTCTCCACTAAGTGTATGTTTTTTTATAATTGAAATAAATGACAATAATAATCTATCACGTATATTAAAAAATTATGTGCAATAACTTGTACTTGTTCCAAGGATTTGGAACCGACTCTTACAAACCATCCGTAGGAAGAAAGCTTTTTGGAGCCGTTGTCATTAGACGGAGCAAATATGGAAGTAGGGGAATGAACACATTGACATTTTGCATACCTAGTCTACTCAATTCGAGGAAAACTAGGGTTAAAAACATAAGTGAGGTTCAATTCAAATTGAGAATTTTATATCCTAAGTTAAAGTTCGATTTACTACTCAATTTGTCCAATTTGCTCGAGTTATACCGGTGTATATCCATTGTATGATGAGAAGTTTTTCACAACATTAATTAGGAGACACCAATTAACCCATTTTTGAACTCTGTCCTAAAAACAGAACAAACAAATGCTTAACATAATTTTTACCCCCATTGAATGGATATAGTCATATAAATCATGAAATTTAATATAGATACATCTAAACGTATATTAAAATTAAAATTCACAATTAATCTAATAGTTATTTTAAATTTCATTCATGGTTAAATACTTAAATTAGCTACAAATTAAGTTCCTATAACATTATTTTATCAAGATAGGGAAGAAGTCTACTTTACTGAAAAAAATCATTATCATACCGCAATTATAAACTTTTATGAATATTTTTATAATTTTTTGGGATAAGTTTATTACAAAATAACTTGCAATTGATCCTAAAAATGATAGGATTTATCGCAAAATTAGTATAAAAATCATAAAAATATTCAAAAAATTATAAAAAATACTCAAAAAAATTATAAAAATAATTACAAAAATTAGAGATATGGTATCAATTTTTTTTATACCATGGTCTTTTCATAGATACTCTTTGCTCACATGTTCACTTTTACAGTCCGTTTGGTAGAAAGAATGAAAAATTAAAAGGATAAAAAAAAAATAAAAATTGAAAGAATTTTCCTTCCTCTCATTTTTTCTTCATCCATTTTTCGTCCTCCCTATTTTTCTTCTAACCAAACAGGGGGTTCATGGCAGAAACTTCAATTATTGAATGATCGATTCCACCGACCAATATTGTTTATTTAAATATGGCACCCACAA